CTAACACTTGCAACCTAACAATCTCCCCCTCAAGTGTGAGTTCGAAATACTCCCCCTTAAGCGGAAACTATATATGCACCCAAACCCTTAAAGCACTCCGGGTGCGAGAGGCGGCCTAACAAAACCATTGGGTTTGATACCATTGTTAGGAAGAGACGGCCCAACTGAACCATCAGGTTTGATACCATTGTTAAGAATCAAGGGAGAGACAAGGGGGAGGGAAAACCCCACCCATAAGTCCAAGTAAGGTTACATTCTAAAATAATATGATAATAGAAGGAGTAGCTCACTTATGTTATAAACTAATTATTCTTTTTTTTTTTTTTTAATTTTTCCATGTGAGACAACAAGTCACACTTGCAACCTAACAAGTAGATAAAAACAAGTGGGCGTAAATTTTCTTTACTTAACTAATGATTTTTATTTTCACAAATTCTTATATGCTGGTGGTGAGTCTAGCCATTATAAAGGTTATTTCTTTAGTATTATAGGGGCTACTCAATCAGTATTATAAGGGTTACTCGATTAGTATTACTGTGGTTACTCGGTTAGTATTGTACTTATTAATTACTTCGGTCTTTTACAAACGGTCACATGGTGTGACAAGTCGTACACAAGATGCATTGCTTTGGTTTTTTTATTTATTCAATCAAATTTTTAATTTTTAAAATTAAACCAGTTTATAACTGTAGGGAATATTTCAAGCATCCCACACTTGAGCCCCACTGTGATCATACACTTAAGTATGGTGGCGTCAAAAGGGAAGAAAGCTAGAGCAAAAGAGTTGCCAATAAGTTTTAGGAACATGTAAACTGTTCACAGGGTGAAGGTTAGATCCCTTCACGATCCTAGAGATCGTTAACTCCATAGTGGTCCTGAATCATGACTGGATATTCGGGGATGAAGGTACAAATCCAATCTAAAAGAGATTGAACCTGTCCGAAATATGCCTCTACTTTATTCTTCTCATATTCATGTGCGCTTTCTAACTAACATACAATCATTATATTAACCCTAAACCTGTTTAATCTATGTTTGTTGAATATCAATGCACAAATAAATGTATTATTGGCGATCACTTGAATTAAAATCATATTAGCCTAAATAAAATTATTAATTATCTTATAAGCGTAATTTCAATTACAAATTTCCCTTAAACCTGCAAGAGAGGGCGTGATCAAGAAATAACAATAATATATCAAGCAACATAATAATTATTGATACAACAAATCATCATCATCAAAATAATATTAATCTCATCAAAGAATTAATATTAGCAAGATCCTAGGCATGATACTAACAAGATTAATAACAAATCCTAGCATGTCACTAAACAATAAAGATCAAAGCTTTAGCCTTAACATGATACTAACATGATAGAAGAAATAGGAAGCAACCTAAACATGATACTAGGTTTTAATAAATAACATGCTAACATGATACTAGGAATTAGAATAACCTAAACATGCTTTTTAAAGAAATATAACAATGAAATTACTCACTTTGTTGCCTCATATTTCTTTCTATCAAAACAATACACACGTTAGTAACTTTAATAAAAATATTAAATAATATATCTAATCAAATAATTGAAATAAGATTTGGGACAAAACCCTCAGTATCAACCTTTCACATCTAGGGTGAAAGCAACTTCGAGCTTGGCTAGGTGTGTCTAAGTCTCGTGATGGACGAATGATGTTTTTGAAAAGGTAAGGCTTAGAAAGAGGGAAAAAGAATAATTTTCTAGCTTTGAGAGAAAGAATAGAAAGATGATTGTTGATGATTAAAAACAGGGAAATATGACCCTATGTATAGAGAAAAACGACCGAAAACAATTAGAAAAGAGTTAAAATTTGGACCGGAATAAATTCCTTTTGACGTGGCAAGATAAAAAGTATCGCGGCGCGATAAAAATAGTTTTTTGTAGAGTTTGTTTTTAATCATATATTTTGATCTAGAAGTCGAAATAAGTCATATAATATGTTGTCGGAAAGCTAAGCTCTTGAACTCTACTTTCCAACCCAATTAGAATCAGATTAAAATATTTTGAAGAATAAAAGATATGGACGAAATAGTATGGAATGATGTTAGTTTTGGATAGAGTTTCGTATTTCTTTCATATCTTTTTCGTTATAGCTCAGAATTAATATTATAATATATCATTATAGAGATACTTTCAAGGGCTATCCAACCATCTATGATTTAAATTAAAATTATGAGGCACAAAAATAATATCTTATCACCTTTCAAGGTCTTTTATTTTGAATAGAATTAGGACTTTCAAAAAGAGGATTCAATTTCAAATTCTTTAATCGTATCTTTTCAAAAAGGATAATTAGGATCTTTTAGAAACTTATAGAAGCTGCTAATTAATCCTAATTGGTTTAGAAATATAATTAAGATTAATGGACCCTCCACATGTCATTGGGTTGCACATCAAACTCGTTTAGACCTAGTTTAGTATTTTGACCGTAACTTCCTCGTTATAACTCGGAATTAGGCTTATAATATATCGTTGGAAAGGTCTTTTCAAACCCTATCCAAATACACTATTATTGGACCCTAATTATAGAATATACTAAACTGGATTAAACTTTTTTCATATATAGGATACGAAATGAATGATTTTCGAAAATAGAAATGAATTATTTTTATTTAAACATTTTAGACAACTGAAGAATTCACGAGACTCTTTCAAATTTCACCTCGCTTGATATCAATGACGTGAAATGTACTTATCACTAAGCTTGGTTTTTCGGGAGACATAATCAGATGTCTACAATAATGCTATTTGTAATTTTTAAAATTACACAAGTTAAATTTGTTTTGAATGGATCCCATTAAAAGTCCTAGTCTTGATGGTATTCAGCCTCTCTTTTACCAACAGTTTTGGGAAGACATTGGGGTGGCCATTCATGAGTTTGTTGTATAAATCTTCTCAGCCTCCCTTATCCCTGATAATGTTAACCATTCTTACATTTCCCTTATTCCAAAGAAATATCATCCTACTTCCATGTCTGAGTTTAGACCTATCTATAGGCCTTTGCAATACTATCTATCAGCTTGTCACAAAAATCATTTCTTCTAGGCGTGTTGCATCGTGTTATAAGTCCTTTCCAATCCAGTTTTATTAAGAACATGTGCATGGGTGATAATATCATTCTTATTAAAGAAGTTGCTCATCAGTTTCATAAAAGCAAAAAAGGTAAAAATTTGATGGCTTTAAAGTTAGATCTTGCTAAAGCTTATGACTATCTGGAATGGTCTTTCATTTCAGATACTCTTTCTTGCTTTGGTTTTCCCCTTTCTGTAATTAAGCTGAGGTATGCATTGTGTCTCTTCCATTCAAATTTCTATTCTTTGGGATGGAGAGATTACGGACAACTTTAAGCCTTTAAGAGGGATAAGACAAGGAGATCCCCTTTCCTCTTATCCTTTTGTCTTATGCATGGAAAGACTATCTCTTTTGATTGAGAATAGTGTGAGGAAATGTAATTGGAAGCCTCTCAAAATTTTTAAAAACTACAATCTTTCTCACTTATTCTATGTTGATGATGTTTTTCTATTTGGTATAGCCAATGTTCAAAACTTAAGTAATATAATGAGCATTCTTAATGCGAGTTTGGTGTTTTTTTTCTTGTTTAAAGGTCAATGATCTCAAATCTAGTATTATTTTTCCCAGTAAAATGGATTATAATATTAGGCATCAGCTTGCTATATTATGCAATTTCAAGTCTAGTTTCTCTTTTAGGAAATACTTGGGGATTACCCTTAGTTCAAATAAGCTGAAAAAAGGGGATTATTGACTTATAACATGATATAGCCCAATCATGTTCATAAAAATTATATACTCAAGAACGTTATTTGTGTCCAAATTAAAACTAACACCGAGTATTGATAAAAATCTACCGTTCACTTTGAAGGTTGAACCAAACATTAGTTTGATAAGGAACAACTGCAACTTTGCAAGAGGAATCTTAATTCATTTGGTTGACATGGGAAATAAATTTACATAGAAAGTTGTATTTCATGGGAATTATTTTCCAAATGAATTTCCTAGAAATTTCTGTAAGTTTGGTTGTGCAATGGAAAATTGGAATTCTCATGAATATTATTGAATGAACAAGGAGGGGCTAGGTAATTTACGTCCTACATTTTGTGGGAAGTAGAAATTCCCGTAAATTCCAACTTTTCCCATTTTTGTTTTTTTGTGTCAACCAATCAACTACCTAAATTACAAAATCCCATGAATTTTAACTTTCCTCATTTTATTTTGTCAGCCAAACAACAAGACTTCTAAATAGGTAGAAGAAATCAGGATCACCCTTTTCCTTTGATCCTTTCTCTATATATGTATCCTTTTTGGTACATTCTAGTTACTTTGAGCAAACACTAACCACTCTTTTATTTTGAAACCGAGAGAGTATTTACGTTATTACATGTAAAAATTAACTTAGCCTGTAGTTGTACATGTAACAATATAACAAGCTTGTCTAGGGTGGCGATTAAGATCAATTATATATTATAGTCCGAAGCCATCAGCCGCCCTTAATAATTTGGGATAGTTGTTTCGCTCCTAACCAAAATGCATGAGAGCACTAATTTAACTTCATACTATTAATGACAAACTATATCTATACAATAATATATCATTAGAAAAAACAATAATATTTTAAAAAAAATTGCCTTTGTTTGATTATATACATAATACATGTAAGACAGTAAGATAATATCAATCGAATAAATAATCATAACAATTATGTTTAGTCATTTACGGATTATTTTTAGAGTTGTTGTATTTAAGTTAAACAATCATCAATCATCATCATAATACGTTGTAATTATAACATCTTCTGTCCATATGATATAACATGCATTAATTTAATGCATTTGATATTTTGTATGTAAATGCGTGTTTTCTAATTTGGTTTTGAGATTGTACAATATTAATTTATCTCATGTGAAAATATGCCATAAATTTTAGTATATAATGCAACCATTCTACGTACAAATTTATATCATACAAACTAAATAATCCTAGAAAAATATACTCTTAGAGAAGTAAGCTTACTTAAGCTAAGATATATAGTTCAGTATGACAAACCTCAGGTTGCTCGCAATCTTTCTCATTTTTTCCATAGCGAATGCACAAGGCTTGAAGCTTGGGTTTTACGAGTCTTCGTGTCCTGAGGCCGAAGAAATTGTTCATAGGATGACTAAGCAATATGTTAGTCATGTTCACAACTTTGCTGCTGGTTTGATTAGAATGAACTTCCACGACTGTGCTGTTAGGGTATGCCTTTTTTATTCTTTTTTTTTTTGTTGCATACTTCCTCCGTTTCTATTTAGTTGACGCGTTTGATTTAGGCACATATATTAAGGAGAGGAGAGAGAGTGAGAGAATGAGAAAACAAGTAGGGTAACTTGTAAATGTAAGGTAAAAAAGTTACCCTAAAAGAATACGTGTCAACTAAAAAAAAATTTCCTAAAAAGGAATAAGTGTCAACTAAAAAGAAACGGAGGTAGTATATGTCAACCGAATTCTTTAAATCTTAAGTAAGAAATTATACTTTAAATAATCTACTACTGTTAGTAGTCATAAGTATTATTAGAAGTAATCTAACTTGGTTGATTAGAATGGAGTGTGTATTATTTGACAATTATGACTCTTTATTTACACTAAAAAAATAAACAAAAGAACTAACTAGCTTGTACGTACCTAAGGTGTTTATTAATTATTATATTATATTTAGTACCAACGAACTAAATTATAATTTGTATATTTTTAGTTTTGTACAGTACATACATTATAACAATATACATGGTGGTTAGTTCCTCATACAAGCTGTTATTTTTGTTTGATGTTTGAATTGAATTATTATCGTATAGTCATTAGTCAAGTGACTCAATTACGTCAATATCTTATTCAAACTCAATCAATAATATTCTTTAATGGTAATGTTACACAAATGTAGTAATTAATTAATGGCTTTGATCACTTGTTTGCAGGGTTGTGATGCTTCTGTACTCGTAGATCCATCTGCTTCTAACAACCAAACAGAGAAGACAGCCATTCCCAACGAAACGCTACGAGGGTTTGAAGTTATAGATGCAATCAAATCCGCTCTAGAAAAGAAATGTCCCGGTGTTGTTTCTTGTGCTGATATTTTAGCTTTGGCTTCTCGAGATGCAAGTACAACGGTATAGTTACAATCAAACTTTGAAAGCACCAGCTGCTAAGAGAGATTATTATGTTAATACAGAGTAATTATATACTTTCTGATAACTAAACAAATTACTATCTTTTTATACTGGCGCAGATAAGCGGACCATGGTGGGAGGTTCCAACCGGTCGAAGGGATGGGATAGTATCATTGGCTTCGGAAGCCAATGCTCTTATACCATCACCATTTTCTAATGTTACTACCCTTAAACAAAATTTTGCAGCTTTGGGTCTTACTGCTAAAGATTTGGTTGTGTTATCAGGTAATTTAATAAAGTAAAATTACATTATTGTCCGTTATACATGTTTATATATACACACGTTGTTGCATAAAAGTGAAAGTGTCTATTATCTACGAACGAGCAGGTTTTGTATGGATCTGATTTACAATAAATTATTCAAGATCCAAAATTTAATACTCTCAAATAATATAATCAGTATGGATCTGATTTACAATAAATTATTCAAGATCCAAAATTTAATACTCTCAAATAATAGGGAAAATCCCTATTTCTCATGGTGAGAAATGAAATTTGTTTCTCATGGGGCATTTTCGTGAATAAATCAACAACTTTTTCATTATTGTAGGCTCCACAATTGAATAAAGTTGTTGATTTATTTACGAAAATGGCATGTGAGAAACAAAATTTGTTTCTCACAATGAGAAATTGGGGCATCCTCCAAATAATATAATCACATTGACATAATCACTTTTTTAATGAAATAGTTATCTTGTTATAAATCATATTTTGAATGACAGAATCATATTTTAAACCATATTAGTGAAATGATATACTACCTCCGTTAACAGTTATTTGCAACATTTACTAAAAACGGGTGCTAACTATTATTTGCAACATTCCCAAATCTTTCCATTTTTAGAAACTTTTTTTAAATGAAATTACAAAAACACCCTTACTTAAAACTTTATAACATCAATTACATACTCAAACCTTAATTGATTAAAAACTAATCTAATCTAATTAAGCTTATTTTATCTTTCAATAATCATCAATCCATATTCATCAATTCATCATCTTCCCCATTATCTTTTTCTCTCTCCCTCCATCATCTTCTTCCTCTTCCTCCTCTCCATAATCTAATATCTCCATCTTTATCCTCTTCAACATTAACTTTCTCTCTCCTCATTCAACCACTTTTCATGAATGGAATAAGAAACACACTCAATTAAGATCTGGGATAATGGTCTTGGTTTTGCGGGTTCGGGATCTGAATTTGTGGGTTGTGGGTTAGTTCTTCTGGGTCTTGGTCGAGGGTGTCGCTGATTTTGGTGGTTTGTGGGGGTGATTTTTTTGGTTGGGTTCGCTGAGTTCGTGGGGTTGATTTTGGTGGTAGTCGAAGTGTTTCGGTGGTTCTTCGTTTATTTTGGTGGTTCGTGGGGGTGGTTTTAATTTGGTGGTTTGTCAAAGGGAAGTAGTCAGGGTGGTTTTTGGTGAGTCGTTAAAGGGTTTCGGTGGCGGTATAGTAGTTTTGATGGGTCGTCGGTGGTTTTCTTGGGTTTGTGGTCGGAATCCGGTGGTTTCGGTGGTGGTTTTGGGTTTCGGTGGCTTTGGTGGTTCTGGTGGTTGGTGGTTTTGGGTTTGGTGGTTCTGGGTTTTTGGTTAATTGTGTGTTTTTTTTTTGGGTAGTAGTAGGATTAATACTTAAGGCCTTAAGCACATACCCTTGTTTTTTAATAATCATACTTAAAAACTTTTGCCTAGGAGTCCGCGCATGTTCTTTTCGTTGCAAATAACTGTTAACGGAGGTAGTAATTATCTTTTGAATAATATAATTATTTTTTGAATGATTTAACTATTATTTGATACTTTTTTTTTTAAATGAGAAATTCAATGTTTGAATGATACATTTTCATTATAATCAGTTTCTAGATGATATAATCATTTTTGTAAGGATATAATCACATTTCGTATGATATATTATTAAATAGTTGGCTGCACAATAAGTTATCGTGCATCGGATCTATTTTAAATTTTACCTTTACGAAATTTAACTAACAAGTGGATGTTAAATTATTTGTTACGTACTTTTATATTAAAAACTTGTCCCTTAAATAATTTTACGTAGGTGCTCATACTATTGGAGTTGGTCACTGCTTCATCATCCGAAATCGTTTGTACAATTTCACTGGCAATGGAGACACCGATCCTTCAATATCCCCAAAGTATGCCGAATGGTTGAAAACTAGATGCCCGCCCACTCCAAGCGACATGAAATCATTTGTGTTTATGGATCGAATTACCCCTAAGGTCTTCGACGAAAAATACTTCACTATGGTAACCGAAAAGAGGGGGCTCTTTACATCAGACGCCACTCTTATGGATGATCAAGAAACTAGAACTTATATAGAGACCCAAGTTAAGACCGCCGGATCAACTTTTGCTAAAGATTTCGCCGAATCTATGACTAAAATGATCAATATTGGTGTACTCACAGGAAGCCAAGGTGAAATCAGGAAAACTTGTGGTTCAATTAATCTATAAATTGGTTACTTGTATTTTTAATGATGTTTTCATGCATTGCACAACAACATCAGAGCTTTAATCTTATTGGCGAGGTCAGCTACAAGAATCGAGAATTTTTCTTTACTTGTACTGGTCAACTATGATCCTCTTACTCCATTATTTGTTTTGTGGGTAGAGTTGTTCGTTCCTTTGAAAGATTATTTAATTTCTTGTATGTTTTGAATTTTTTTTTAATAAATTGTACTTGTTATGTTTCGTAGAGCTGTTATTCTTTTGATTTGTACTTGTAACATGTTTGAATAAGAAAAATTAATAGCTCCACAAGGTTATATGTTGAAAGAAAATTTGTCATAAAGGTTACATAGTCGACATTGTGAGAAAGTTTCTAATATATAAACGTGTTATGTGTATCCCATTTAAATTGTAAGGAGAGTTCTTTGACCGAATTTCAACAATTGACTATATTTTTCGATCATTTACCCTTTATTTGAATCATATTCAAATTAAAAAAAATTTATTTTTTCTTTAAAATAAACGACAATTTAAAAAAGATTATAATCCAAAAAGGGCATGTTGATTTTCTTGATATTGATAACTGAGTTATTAAACAATTATATTACCACTAACTAGTGGATAATTCTAAAAAATCTGTTTATAAATACATACTAATCTACACCAATGTTACAAATCATTTCATACGTAACAACCCACTTCTAGCTTTTTGGGAAATTATCAATGATACCCTTCAGGTTCTGAGTTTTATCAATGATACATATCATTAAACTTTCATTATCAGCGATTCTCCTATAATTTAGCCATAATGCTATAGTGATCATAATGTTAAACAAACGTTAAGTACCCTCAATATGACAGGGTTAATGGGCTGACTTGAGTTGACAAAAATGTCCCCCACTCATTAATACCCCCCCCCCCAAAGCACAACCAACACCATTTAATACAAAAACAAATTTGATCGTTCATCTCCTTCAGCATTTCCCCTGTTCTTCTTCTTCTGAGTAACCCTAATTGACGCTTGAGTGAAACTAGATCCTTGAAGATTTAGCGGTCTTTGTAATTCTAAAGCTTAGTGCTTACTTCTCTTGTGAATTTTGGTGATTTTGGTTTAAATTGTTAGGTTTAAGGTGGTGTATACATCTTTGTGTAATTCATTTGATTTTGTGTGGTAATTTGCAAGTGTTATTGTATTTTAATATGAACTATGCTCAATTAACATATGATCATGCTATCTTGCTAAAATATATTTTTAATCTTTTCAGATATTAAAATACATTTGAGTGTGGAATTGTGTTTGTGATTGCATGAAATAATGTTACTTCTAATTTTGCAAAGTAATGTGATGTTTTGGAGTGCTTATTTTCAAGTGTTGTTCGATTTAGCTATGAATTATGCTAAATTAACATATAATTATGTTATCATGCTAAATTTTTAATCTTTTCATATATTAAAGTACAATTGAGTGTGAAATTGTATTTGTGTTTGCATGAATAAGTGTTGTTACTTGTGATTTTGCAAAGTAATGTGATGTTTTAGTGTGGTTAAATTAAGTGATTTTATACTGATTTTGCATAATGAATGATAAGGTTTTGTTTTGATTTAAGTATAAGGTGCATAAAATTTATATTGAAGTGGACCTTGATCAAGATAACTTAATTGATCTAGTGTCTGAGTTTAGAAGAAACAAATTAGTTGCTGAAAGAGCTAACCAAGCACTACTTGAAGAACCTCCACTTGTTAATGAACCACAACGTGATGAACTTCCACTTGTTAATTAATGAACCACAACTTGATTAACCACCACTTGAAAATGTACAAGCTTCCAGCCCTTTTGAAGCTGCTCCTTCTGTTATTCCTACAAACCCTTCAAATTATGGAAGGAGCATGCTAAAACCTAGGAGAATATTAAGACTTACATACCAATCAGAATCTCAACCAACAATTCTTGTATCTCCTGTTAACTCTTCATTAGAAGACTCTGACCCTAGGATTATAAACTATGACCCGGATGCTCATTTCACTGAAATAGAAGACCTGTATGAACTGAACAGTGCTAACCAGTCTGCAGAAGAGTACAGAAGAGGTCAAAAGGAGTTTGAGAAGTATATGGACAAGGATGAGGGTAAGGGTCAAGATAAGGCTGAGGGAGAAGAAGTATTTGGTTCTTCTGGTACTACCGAAAAGGGAAGAGGGAAAACGGGTAAGGCAAAGGGAAAGGGTAAGGGTAAGGCAAAGCTCATAATTTCTAGTGGTGAAAAGTTACCCCCATCTCTCATTTCACCACACACTGTTTTCAAGACACTAGCTGTTAGGTTTTTCACCGGCACAGACTATTACCAAGCAACCCACTATCCTTCTTTCAACTAGACCAAACACAAAAGGTCCAAATCCAGCTACTAACCCCACCCATTTTAGTAGAAAAATTCCTAAGAGTATTGCTATTAGGAAGGGCATTTGTACTGCTGCTAAGGCTAGAGTCCCTAATAAGCCAAATGAGGTTGGGGAAAGCAGTAAACCAACTGTTAGGAGGAGAGTCCCTTTTGATATTGAAGATGATGGTGGGGGTGAGTGTAATACCCTAAAATTTTCTATTTTAAGTTTCGAGGACGAAACTTGTTTTAAGGAGGGTATATTGTAATACCCGAATATTTTATGATTTTATATTGTATATTTTATAAAAAAAAATAGTTATTTTTATTTATTAAATAATTAACCTAATTTCATATTTTAATTTTAGAGTTCGGAAAGGTTTAAAACCCTATTTTAATTTAAATATGACTCTTTATTAATTTTTAAGCGTATATAAACTATTTAACCCTAATAAAGTTTACTGGTTGTTTATTAAAAAAAAAAGGGTCTTATTCATTCACGCTCTTTGTCAGTTTTCCTATTCTTCTAGGCGTGGGTTTTTATGAGGTCGACAAAGAATGTAAATTATTCATTAATTCATCCTTCTTAATTCTCTTTAAAAACAATAATATTGTAGTTACTAAGCCTGTTGCCGTCTTTTTTCTTTTTATTGGAGTTGGTTGGATGATTTTGTATATTCTTTCATCCAAATTATTTTCCATCATCATGTGAATTCAAGATTTTTCGACCAAACCAGTAGAGCAACCATGCTTGTGTATATGTACTTTTGTGTTTTTGAAGCTAAGGTAATCACACGACCGTAATTAATTTTTTTATTTGTTTGATTATAAATTGTTAGTATTAATTGTACTCCGTATTGTTTAGTGTAAATTTTATGATTTATGAATTATATATGATCATGATTTATATACATGATTAGTGTGTGGTATAATATGATTCTAATTGCCGTATTATTTTGTGATATTGATTGATTGTGTTATTTTTCTAGGGTTTTAATGTTGTTGTTATATGGACTATTGTTTTGAGGTTTTAGGGTTGTTAATGCAAAGTATAATTTTTGGGTTGTGATTTATTTATTTTTGGGTGCTAGTATTATTTCCCAAAGAATTGAGATGTTTTTTTTGAATTGAATTGTTATGTTATTTGGGAACATGTGCCATTGTTGAGATTGTTTATGAATAATTATTTGATCAAGTATGAGATCAAAAGGTTGAGAAATTATTGTTTTGTTCTTGGTTTGAGGCTCAGCGTTATATACCTTAGTCCTTGGCATGTTGGTAATGAGATAATGATCATGAGTTAAGAATGAGGTACAATCTTTATTTATATATTTTTGTTCTATGGTCCCCTACATTGGGAATTGGCTCGTATGTGGTCTGGTTCAAGGTGTTTTCTGATTATTGATAGCTAGTATTCAATTTTTTATACTTGTTGGTTTGTTATTCGAATTACCCATGTCCAAGGCTAGTTATAAAACAAATAGCGTGGCATTTATGGGACAGATGAGTTAAGTAAAGGTTTGTATTATTATTTGAGGTTGAGTTGATAAAGGTTATTTTCAGAGTACAATGTGTAATGTAGTTCTAAACTACATTCTTTAAGTGAGCTATTAATGTTGATTATCCTATTATACTCTGTATTATGATATGTGATGATTACTCAGCTTCTTGCTGACGTGTGTGTATTGTTTTGTTGTGCTACTTGTGTTTGTAGCCATGTCTTTTTCTTATGATGGCCCTGCGATGATCTATTTTGGAATTTGTCCTTAATGGTGAGCAGCCAAGTTTGTCTAAACAGGTTGATCAAGTGGTCGTAGCTAAAGGAGCTCAAGTGTTTCGATTTGTTTATTATAACGAGTTTATGTAAAGTTGTATAAATAACTCACTTAGTTTATTAGGTTGTAATTATTGGGATTTTGTAAGCCTGAACACTTGATAGGTTGTTGAGTGTGGCGGTAATACGTACCTCCGATTTAGGTGTATGCTTCCGCAGTTTTACTTAAAGGTTGTTTATTTTTCTTTTATTTGTTGTTTATTATTAATAGTAAATCGGGAGTGTTACAGTGAGACTAGTGACTCCAGTGAAATCAGTAGTGATGATGAGGATTTCACTAACAATGGTGGAGAGTTTGATGATGTGAATGAATATTTTGATGGTGAAGTCATCCCTGAAGGTGATGTACCACAAGATGAGAGGGAAGAGGTAGGTTAGGTTCCCCACATAGAAGACAATTGGGAGCAGGGTTTCTGGTCCGGGTTTATAGATGATGATGATGATGATGGTAACTACTTCAAACAACTGTATGGGATGGTGAAATGTATGAAGATGTGAAGTTTGGTAAGATTGTAATTAGACGCTGGATGCCTTTCATAGACAAGGCTCATTGAAGGGAAACTTTGAAAGATTATGCAGTCCAAGAAGGGTTTGCTTTAAATGTTGTTGCTGCAGACAATACTAGATACGCTGTGACATGTAATGCTGATGTTGTGAGTGGAGATTGCATGCTAGTAGGTTAGTTGATGGTAAGACATGGGCAATAATGAAAATATGGCCGTATGTGCATAACTGTAGGAGTTTGGAAAACATGTAACCCTATTTTCATTGTGAAATGGGCTGATCCAAAAGTGATGGAAGATATAAGGGCTGCTTTAGACATTCCAGACAAAGCTTTGAATGAATTTCTCTTTTAAAGATTTGGGATTTATATGAAACAATCTTCATTGTACAGGCTTAAGAGGTATGTCACTCAAGAGCTGTTTGGTGGGCATGATGAGTCCTACTCCCTGATGCCAAGGTATGCCGACATGATTTGCCACACCAATCCTGAGTCAAAGGCATTTGTAGCTTGGGTGTTGAGTGAGATCATTCCTAGGATCAACTTGTTCACTAGTATCTTCATTAGTTTTGCTGGACAATGGAAGGGTTTTCTAGCAGGGTGCAGGCCATTGATTGATGTTGATGGGGCACATCTAAAAGTAAATTATGGTGGTATTTTGTTGTCTTCATTTGCATTAGATGACAACAATGAGATTTACC